ATCGTGATATCTTATTGTAAAGATAACCTCGCTATTATGGACACCCATAAAGGACGGTTTATTGTGTATCGTGATATCTTATTGTAAAGATAACCTCTCTATTACGGACACTCATAAAGGGCGGTTTATTGTATATCGCGACATCTTATTAGTCGGACTAGCCGAAGGCTAGGTCGACTTGAAATTTACCTTTTAGTCAATCTATCTATGTGTCATGTCGCGTTTGGACCACCGGAGGTTAAGAATTATATAATTAACAATTGGGTTGACTGTGTTGTTACATGACCGGAAGCTCAAACGTATAGATGTACGAATATCGTTATTATACGATAAAAAAACATTCTTTTACAAATGTGGTATCTGTGATCTCATCGGAATGCATCAGTCTAGCCATCAGAAGTACGCGCATGTGCGGATCGCATGGAGCTTCGAGTAGTATGCTTACGAAACTGAATTCTAGGGTTAGACAGTTTTGTTTGGGCAAAGATTATTCAAAGAAGAACAAGAAGAAACTTTGTTTATCAATAACAAAAAGGCGACTTTGATTGTTTTACAGGCATTTTTTATTTTTCAAATAAAAGATTTAAATTATTATTATTTTTTTGGCCTAAGAGGTCAACAATTTGAATTAAAAACGTATTAGATATGATATCACTTAGCGACATTTCGTCTACCAAGTTTGATTTTATCAGTTCAGTTGTAAGTTGTTCGKAGGATATTAATTACATGACCTTTTAGGTCAAATTTAGATTTCTATCGTTTTGAAATCGTTGCAGAGAGCTGTCAAAAAGAATATCGTATCGTGTGAATAAACGGTTTTGAACAGTACATTAATTAAAGTGAAAGTAACGCACTCTTGCTTTCAATATGTATTAGAATTAAAATATATATATTCTACGCCATTTACATTCATAATATAATCATCTATAATTWGACAGAATATAACTTAAAACCTTTCGATCACTCGTGAACTCGTGTCTTAATCAATTTTCAAAAATAGCTAGTCCGACTTCACGCTCCAGGAGCGTCTAGTTGMAAAGATAACCTCGCTATTACGGACACCCATACAGGGCGYTTTAACTGTTTGATGTGTATCATAATTTATATCACAGTACCCAGTATAGCGTTTTGCGAGGTTTTGCAGGATCTTTCTTTGGTTAGTATATTGTCAATAAAAAAACATCGTTGTCTTATTTAGACAACAATTGAATAGAATGGARGTGTATGGCTATACTGCATCGTGAGAGCATAGGACACTTGGCATTTTATTTTTTATGCACAGCATACCGGGTGTTGGACGAGGGTCTCAATGTCTCTTTTGACACGGTTGACTGTCGATATGATGTAGTTGAATCAGTCACAAACAAGATGATTGTTAATTTTTTACCAGTATGGTGTAGGGATTTAGATTTTTGAGATGAAAGAGTTTTTTTGATGAAAGATGAAATTGAAGAAACGACCTTCGGCTGTTTTCAGTCCGAAAACTTCCTTCATAGAGATCGTCTTTAGACGCAAGTCTAATACCCCGTGAAAGTTACACAAAAATAACTATCCTGATTAGGCGCTTTTTCTTTACTTATATGAAAAAATATGGGATTCAGAGGTGCTTCCCCAATTGAAGCTGTTATTGTATAAGTGATTAGGGTGAATATATATGTTCGAGTTGATATAATGAGAGATGGTTTTCTGTAGAAAAGGATCTTTTTTTCAGATAAACGATAATTTAGTTGTTTTTTTAGAATGCTTCCCATTCAGATTGTCATTTCTTGCTTTATTTCATGGTTTCTATTTCTATAGAAAGACTTTATTTATTTTTTTATAGCAAAATGTATTTTTTACTATTAAATGAATTTAACAATTCAACTATTTGAGCTGTTCGAGTGGTAGCCCCCAGTACACCAGATGTTTCAAGTTTTTGAGTAAGATTGCGTGGTTGTATTGAAGGTTTTATCGAAGTCAAGAAACACAAATACAAATTGTTGTCACGTCGGACCGATTGATGTCTTTAAAAGATGGTCTGTAATTTAAGCAATGTCCTGTTCTTAGTACGAAAGATATATGTAACACTCCCACGTGACAATGCTATGTTGACTTAATGACAACCATATTACAAAGTCATTTTGAGGTATAGTATTCAAATGCATGCTGTGGAGATTTCCCTACTGGTATGATTATATCAGTTTTGCGCGTCATTGCATGAACGGACGATAACGTGCAATAAGATCAAGCTGTGCATGCGTGCTTAAGCAAGCATGGCTAAGCAACGTGACTGAACTCTATCAGCTAAATCGTGATATAACCTTGACAGTTTCTGCAAAAATAAAATCACGATTAATACTTTGTGACATCACCTGCACCTCCTCTAAGATAATGACAAAGTTCACTAGTCCAGTGAGCTCGTAGCTACCGAAAGACCTTTAATTAAATTATTGAAATTAAAACATAAATTTTAACATTTCGTAATTTTCAGTTGTTTATCCAATTACGAATTTGATYAATATTTTTTTGGGTTAAGGCTGTGGCAAAGGCCCCTCCAAGTCTTTTCTTAGAGAGTACTCCAACCAATGCATAACCGGTCCTAGCGTTTCTAACAAGTATTCCTGAGCCAGCGTGTTCTGCAGCCTTGCTACAYTGTTTCAGTTCTATCCCATATGACATGGTCACAGGAGAACACCTTGATTGATACAAGTTGAGGTAGTTATCAAATCCTACAATGGAAACAAAGAAAAACGACATTAATTTTAAAAGTTCTTGGCCAATGTATGTACATGCAGGTAGTAGTGTTCTTATTGCGACCAACGGGCAGCCAACGGGCCTGGATGCTCTCGGCCTCAAATAAATATATAGATATCACTGTTATTTGTTATTTTTTTAAGGTTGGATACAACTCCAAAATAGGAGTAAAAAAGGTACAAGATAACTCCTTTCACCGTGTTTGGTTCCTCAAGATTCTTACAAAACTCACTGTGCATCAACTTTAAAATATTGCTGAATTATATGAAAAAAACAATCTTTTAAATGTAGGGKTAAAAGAAGTCAGTGTRTTCYTGAGCTTTCTTTTAAACAGGTTATAAGGACGACGCTGTTGGTCAACATTGGTCTGCAAGTTTATTGAAATATTTACACATAGTGACTCCGGTAAACAGTCCACTGATAGCCCCATTCAAATAGCCAGGGTTGTAGTAACAGCTTTGGTYGACACTACTGGACGGTTTCCAATGCTGACAACCAAAGGCTTTATTTCACCTAATGCATTTCTAGGTGGAGCTTCAGTGATGCTTAAAACGGATTTGACGTGGACTTGTCAGAATATCCCGATATCTTGTGTGACATATTCCTTTGTTGTTGTTTTTTAACTTAAAAAAAATTATGGCTGTACCTGGATATGGAATGTGGATTGGCATGTCCCGTGAGCGCTGAAATTTCCAGTTGGTGGAGATCCTCGCGCAGTGATTGAATTGCTGTTTCGTACGGCTACTTGAGTTAGTGAACTTCTTACGCTATTAACTCCCACTTTTATACCGCACATTGGACTTGTACTGGCTTGTCAATCGAAGGAAGAAAGGAGTTGCTTGGAAATGTTTCTCYATCGTTTAGACGATGCTCTTTGTACTCGATAAATGCACCGCTTGATATCTGCTTGCCTTTTTTGGTTATCGCTCGATATACTGGATATACTGCTCTGTCAGGAGGAGCCGACGGGGTCTCTCTCTGTTCTTCTAAATAACTGTTCTTGTACGAAATTTCATGGGAAAGGTATTTTAAGCTACATTGTTGACGCCCTTCCTTCAAATGTGTTGCCTTTCCTTCTTTAAAATTCTTAGATTATATTACTTGCCTGGAGAGTGTTTCCATCCCTGAATTTCTCGCTGGCAACCAGTTGTGACTTACAGCAGGCTGGGACATAAGAACAGATATATTTCTCCCAGGAACCCGTCGGCTCCTACTCTTTAATAACGATGTGACAATCGTGGTGTTCTTGTACTGCTGGCATGCCTTGACTCGAAAGTTGTTCCATCAAACTTGATTCAGGATTGATCTTGGACTATGAAGACCAATGGCGTCTGACGACAAATTCGCTCGACTTCTTCATCTTCCAAAGACTGGGCAGCATTTAGCTTATTGCACAAATCATTTTCTTGAGATCTCTCTTTTTATGAGAGGATGTTCAAATTTTACACCTGCAGGAGTCTTTTCAATGTCAAAGTTATCGGAAGCTGGAGGACATGCCTTTGGTCTTTCCATGAAGTACCTTCGTAGGCTGTTTTTGTATGTTTATAAGCGTACTCTTCCTTTCACTATCTTTGGTGGTCTGCCGGATGTCCAAAAAGAATTAAGAAGGTTAGGTGCTTCTGCTTTACTTATTGTATTCATGACTTGTCATAATTATTGATCATGGTACCAGGACTGATTGCTGCGAACGGATGACCCTGTCCTTTTTTCGTGTTATTAGTGGCAAGATTTTCTTTGAATGTCACTATTTCTTCATCTTCGTAATAATCGCCGATGATTTGCCATGATTCTCTTGTTTGAGGACATTTGTTTCAGTGTTTGCTGTTGATGTTTCAGTTTCTGTTGTAACAGTTGCTGCAGACTCGCCATTACTGCTTCATGCCCCTAGGGCTAACCCTGGGGCTCCAAAAATATCATAAACTTTTCAATTTTGTTTAGGTTATTCCAAAAGATTCAATACTCACAGTGCAAAAAAAAAAATGGTTAAAACAAATTAACGATGGGAACCCTATATATCTTTCGATTCAGGTTTCGCGCCGTGGTATTCCGTGTGAAATACCCTCTCTTCCGATTTTGATTTCCGCCAATKAGCGGGCAATTTTCAATTGAGGTATGAGATTCAATATTTAACTCCACCTATTTTAAATGCACCTAGGAGAGTATAATTTAACTCCCCTTGTAAGAGCAATTTTGAACCCTTTTCAAGGGGAGTAATTTTMACTTTCTTTCCGAGTTGATTGAAACTCCTGGAGTAATACTACTCGCATTGTAAAGTAGATTTAACTCCCCTTAAAGATACTCCGCCAGGTAGAGTAACTTTAACTCAATTGATGGTATTTCAAGAATAACAGTGTGTCCGGTTTCCAGTGCCATCTTGAAGGGTAGCCAAGTCTTTGCGTCAAAACGAGACAGGAGTTGACCCTGCAATGATAGAAACCTTTTGTCACACATACATACAATTACTCCATGGAATGACAGGTTTCTATCATTTCTTGCTCTTGTCATCTCGCTTCGATGTAAAGACACGAAGATTTCCAGATGGCGCCGGGAACCGAAAAGGAGATTATTTTCAAAGCTAAACCTGTCTAWTGAGACCCTGAAAACGTACCCTGAAAGTTCACTTCGTCAATTCCTGATATGAAAGTCGGAGACGGTCGCATTAAGAGGCCAGGTCGCCCAGTGGAGCGGTTAAGCCTTATAAGAGAATAGTCGTACTTTGTTCCCTCGAGGGATTGCTTTAAACTATTCTTTATTGTCAGCCATCTGCGTGGTATGCGGAACGTTTCGCTGCTGTACCACTCTACTGACCCACTCCTTAAAAAACCAACTTTCACGTTTTTTGGAGACAGTTTATCTACACAATGGGCCGAGGTTAAAATGTGCTGGTGACCAACAAGAATTCCATCGCATTGCCATTGGGAGCCAAATGATACTATAGCAGAAGGAACGTTAACACTTGACGTAGCAAAGACAGGCTTTAAATTCTCCCTTTTGCTTTTTGGCTTTCTTTTTTTACTGTAAATGATTAAGAAAAAACGCAATCTTAGTTGGTTGTCGCATGCATTATCATTTCCATCTTTACTTTTTGTAGTTATTTTAATGCTTTTATATTGAAATATAGAAGACTTCGGGTACATGGCACAGGTTTTTTCATTTGTGAGGGGAGAGGGGTTAAGGTTAGGGTAATGGGGCTTTATTTGCTTTTCTGTCATTCGCAACCACCTCCCAAACAAGGCAATGGCGTGATTGAGTTACAAGTCAAATAGTTGTGATTTCCTGTGTTATTTTAATGATAACTTAACTGTTAAGTACATTTTGGGCACATTTGAGTAGATCTTTTATAGGAACTCGAAGGCTTTTGTTTCCAAAACAATAACAACAACAAAAACGAAAAAAGGTAGACGAATTGATAAAACTGACGAAAACTATAATCGGTTTGTCCCGCCCGTAATATGAGTTTTAAAAAGTATGAAAGTTTGTTACAAAATAGTGGCCGTTGGCCTTATTACAGTCAAAAGCTAGAAGTGAAGTGCGCCCCACGAAGACTTCATTATTGGATTTTCGTTTTCAAACCAGTAGATTTATGCAAAATTAAATGGAAATCTCGAACTCTGATRGGATAATGAACTAAACAGGAAACCCGCACGACTTAGCTTGCCGATAATCGACAACATCCAATATGGCGGGTCGGAACACGTACATACGGTCGTTTTTATCATCCCGAATGCTCTTAAAGATGAAATAATAGCGCAGTATAACCAGGGTTACTCTAAAAACGAAATAGCAAGTGGTTTACGAATATCAATGAGCTCCGTTAAGAAATCACGACATCTCCAGCTTTTTGGGACCGTCATTCCAGAGTTGGTAGAGGGTTAGGAATCGCCGCTCGGTAAATATTCATTGATAATCACTTCGCCTTCGGCGAATAATTGTTAAATATGCAGGGTGAATATGCAATATTTCCCTTGTTAAAGCGAAGGGTACCCCTCCTTGCTTTATATTACGATCAAATTTCGATCAAGTCCTGAAAAAGTACTGATTTAAAGAGCCTGCGGTTGTTGAGKACTGTCCGACATAATCGAAAACCAAGCTTGGGTACCCTGTGCTTAAAAATCAAGAAACAACACAGTTAATACACAGTTTAATTGATACTAGGCTACATGCATGATGGATATAGTCAATTACGTAAATGATAACATGACATGCCTAGCAAGTTCTAACAGTCATTAGCAATCATCCGAAAAAAAATATGTTGAAAAAATATAATTGTTATCACCGCTTCGTATATACAAACTTGTTGCTCAACCAGAAACAAAGTTCGTAGTCGTACAGTGTTTTAAGAAGGTAGGTTGATTGAGTTATTGTTATTCTACAAACCTCGACGTTTTAACATAAACAACATAAATACATTAGTCTGAAATTTGTACTTAGAAATCACGAATTTACTGCTAAATCCGTCTACTTGCATTGATTGTTTTCACTGAATATAGGTGTAATTAATAACATTGTTATTTTGAAAACCTCACTGCTGTAAAAATAATTCAGTTATCGGCCTTCAGCTCGTGGTTATGTGTATATTCACCTCGGGCTGCGCCCGCGTTGAATATATGACATAACCCCTCCCTTCAGGCCGATAACCCTCCCATATATGTGACGGGGTTGTTTAAGCGGGTGGCTGTAAGGAGGTGTTCCACTGTATTGCCCAATTGTTTGGTTTGCAAGTATTTTTCAGAACGTTAGTTAGTATTTTCCATCAAAAGCTGAATACCCACAWTAACTTTAGGTTCAGTTGTGCAATCGCCGTTACGTCCTGACAACATTTTTTTTGAAAGAGCTATATACGTCTTGTTTTATTTGGATATCCTCACCAAGGAATAAACAAAATTTCATCATTTTGCGGTTTTGACCCATATCTGCGGATWATCTCATTCACTCACCCTTTTGCTCGTCGTTGTAAGCGTTGCTCGTTGTTTATGTTGCACTCTGTTAGCTCTTTCACTTGAAACAATGTGTAGGTTTTCGTACCGTTATAGTASGTTGTTTGATAACTCATATCGTCATCAATTGATGGGATATGGCTAATGACATTATCAATGTCTTTTCGACAGCTCACATTGGACTGTAGGGGCACAGTAGCGATTTCTTCGTACATTATATCTCCTACTTGTGGTGTTAAATCCATGTCCAGAGGCTCTGTTGTCCATTTCCATTGCCCCTTACCATTTATTGCTTCAACAGACCTGAATTTATAAACACAAAGAAATAAATTAGGAACTCAGATGAAAATCTGCGCCCACGAGCTAATGGGATTCCAACCAATAGATCTAGTGAACCAAAGAGCTACTGGAGACTATTTGGCGAGCAATTAGGGTACCTTAGAATTTAATGAATTTTAGAAATTAAGCATAAGTCATCTATGTTGGCTAAGAAATAGACATGCGAAGTTGCAATTCATTTTAATAGTACACAACATAAGCTTAGTGATTTTAGCTTTTTAGTAATCGAATCTTTGTATAAGTTAGATAATATAGAGCGTAATTTGCTTAGCAGAGAAGCTTACTGGTGTCATCAGCTATTCTGAATAGTGAATCACTTTTCAACCTTTCGGTCTTAACAAGCGATTAGAATCAAATTCTGATCATAGGATAAATTACTCTTAGTGAATTTCAGGATCTTTTCCCTGGCTGCGACCAACAGTTCAACGGAGTGGGCTAAAAGGGATCTGGGACTGGACAGAGAAAACAGGCGAAACTTTGGAAAGAGATGAGAACAAGCTGCCAATGGCAACATTAACTCGAAGATTGATACGGAACGATACATGTACGATGAATCAAATTATAATTACTTAACAATTACAATTTTAAGTAGACGATTTATGAATTTTTTTTCGTTAAAATCCTATTATTCTAAATTCGGTTGTGGAAAAGCACGGCCAGTGACGGCGAAATAAATATCAGTCTTAGCCAAGAATACATCCAAATTGCCATCGTAGATCAGTCGTTAGTAAATAGTCGTCCTAACCAAGTGGCCGCGGTTCGATTCCCAAGGGATGACATATAATTTTGTTCTTTTTTCTTTTTTTTTTCTTTTTTTATTATTAATTACTTTTTCCAGCAATTCTTTTAAGAATGCTTACTCCGTAACGGTGAATTAAACAACTGAAAAACGACATTTCGAGCCAAATATAATGCTTTTTAACAGAAATACGAGCGA